AGTCACATGATATATATATGCTTAGAAATGGTGCAAAATTGATTTGGTACGTAGACTGGTGTGCTGATCGTGAAAAATTTTTAGCAATGCTTAGAGGACACAAAAAAAGATCAAGATAGCTTTGTAAAACCATATCAGAATGTTTAATCCTCTCACAATAGCCTCGTGTATTTTATATGACCTCGTAACCACCATGAAGGTATATATACTATAACTCTGAAAGTACACAATACATCTTCACAAATTTGGTAGGTTTAAGTAAAAATTATAAGTTTACAAGTCTTTTGTACACAAAAAGTAAGATTTTTTAATAAGTATTTTTCACTAAACATTTGTCCACAAATATAAAAAAGCCTGAGTGTTGACTGTTAGAAACGGAAAGTGATTTTCCTATTAAGATTAAAAACACTTTTCTTTAACTGAAATTTGTGACATTTCACTTGCATAATGTCTAAAATCTTTTAAATAAATGTTAAATGTTTTTTCAGTAAAGCCTTATACTTTATATGCTATTTTTTCTACTTTTACCCTATCTCTAAGGGTCTTCCTATGGTCATGGTATAAAAGCCATGTCATCACGTTTATAAACTCACATTCAAAATTTTATTGAACTACTATTTTATGAATGTCAATAAGTTTCGTATCAAATTGTAAATTATAATTCAAATTTTAGTATGATCCTTTAGTTAATTTCTTAATTTAAAAGTAAATATTAAAAAAGAAAGCCTCAATATTGATTTTTGTGTGTCACGTGGTATGTTGAATGCAGCATTGGTTCAAATTAGATGTTTGTGATGTCCAAATTAGGAACTCAAATTACCTATATTGACAAACTGGAATATAAAATAAGAACCTCCTATCTTTTCTATTTGCTGAGATACAGCTCATGTACTGAAACACACACACAGTGACCCCACCCACCTCTTTCCATTTTTGGAAACACTCCCTTATGTATAATTACTTTTGTCTCTGACATGTGAATAACCAATCAAAAACTCAGAATGTTTCCCTACTGGCTTTCTCAGTCATATCAAAGTATTATGATGTCAACTCACTCTTTCGATCCAAGATTTCAAGATGTTAAGTCTTTATTCTGCTCAAAATTTAATATTTTTTTAGACCCAAATACAGCTTAGTTACTAAGCTTGATAAATTATGGTGGAATTCTATGGTATCGATTCAGTACTTTATGATTTTTTGGCTATTTCAACTGTATATGTAAAACCTAAAAAAAATTATTTCATTTCACATCCTCCAAGTGCAAAATTTGATAACCAATCTACAGCACCCAGCAAATGAGACAAAGGTTGTAACTAGAAGATATAATTATTGTTCTGTGTTTTAAGAAAAATAACTAAGTACTTATTTGTAAATAGTAATAACATATATACATATATAATGCATTATAACTGAAATGTGACTATTTTACAAAATAATAGTCCAATAAACACTGCCAAGACAAGTCACTTGGTAAAGGCCAGTTTTATACTCTTGGATATGGTAACGTGAGTGCTAATGCACCATGTCAATGCAACTTCAATAATGTTAGCCAGGCATGGCTGAAGGGTCAATATAATAAAAATAATAAATATATATAAATGTATGATGTTATGAAATTTAAGCTATTTAGATTTAACATTTTTGTTTTCATGTTATATTTTGTAGTCATTCTAGAACGAAAGAAGCATAATTTATATTTATTTCCTAATTTGTTATTGAGGTTAGGAAGTCAGTCAAATTGTACCAACTCCTACGGAGATACAGCAGTGAAAATAACAGATAAAATATAAAGTTTTTTTCTAACAAAAATTTGATAATTATCTGGAGGTTATAAAGATTTTGCATTTGAAAATGTTCTAATGCATAAAAGTATTTTTAATCTTAAAATCAAAATTACTTTGCATGTTAGATGTCAACATTCTGAAAGAAAAAAATTTATGACAAAATCTTTAATTAAAAAATCATAATACTTAACTTAAAAACCTGATATTTTGTTTGCGAAAACCTTGTAATGTTTACCAATAACCTGCAAAATTTTGAAAAGGTATGCATACATTATCAAAAAATCAGAGTATAATTACTCTCATGGATACTTCCGTGTTTATGAGCTGGGTGCATACCACCCAGCCCTTAATGAAAGAGTTAACTCTACTCAATCGATCAATTTCACTAACTTCATAATCACCATAAAAAAATTAAATAAATCTAAATTACACTTTTTTCTTTCTAGAACAACTGCAAACTGTAACATGAAACCACAATTGTTTACCTAAATAGCTTAAAGCTTGTATATATAATTGTTTGCACTTAATTTTATTGTTTTACAACCCTTTGAACCATGTTTAACTAATAATCCTGCCACACAAATTTTAAATCACTTGGCAAACATGCAGATCACATTACCATATTGAATTACATAATGCACAAGCTACTTACATGCATACCTCGTGAAGACTTTTTATTGCTATTATTTTCATTATTTTAGCTAATCAGTTTTTAATTTTTACATATTAGTTACTTTTATAATAACAAATAAATAATAAACATGAAAAACAAGAAATATAGTAATTATCTGGGTCCTCTTGTTTGTTTGCTGTCAACTGTCAATGAAACTTAAGCCTACTTTCCTATATAATTAAATAATGCACCTACGAATACGGAATCCTAATACACACACAAACAAAACAATGTTCTTAAAAGCTTTTAAAAATTTAGCAAAGCTTCTCAATGCTCAAGTTAAGCTTCTACTATGAGAAAAAGTTTCAAACAGAAGCTAAAACAGACAATTCTCTGCACAGAAAACAATGTAATATGTCATTTGATAGATTAAAACTTTGGCTTTCTAATGGTTATAAATAATATAATATAAAAAGCCAGAGAGGACTAATGACCTTTCTATTGGTTATAAATGGTACAGAATAAAATATCAGAGAGAAATGTTGGTAATTTGTGACAAAGAGGATATGACAGGTGGGCTTGGCAAGTGTGTCTCATTTTCTAATTTATGGCTCTATAGACAAGTAAGTTTGAAGGCTATAAGAATTATTTTTTGCCTTAGTAATACCTATATTATAATGAGTAATTTATGTTAAATTCCATACTTCTCAGAGATGTAGTGAATAAATTAAAGAATAATGAAGACCTAGAGATGAAATCACAATGTTCGTACTTAGACAGATCACAAAAACCCTCAAATATTTATTTATAAAGTAAAAAATTAAAGACTTGTATAATATTAAAATTTGATATACTAACTGAATTTTGATGCCAATTTTATTCATATACAATAACCATAAAGAAGTTTAAATACATTTTGAATATACCTCCATAAAATATCTTGACCTGCGCACTAATACCTATACCTTGTGAGCGGGTTAATAAGATATTTTTACTAAAGATTTGTCTGTGAATTAACAAAGCATTTACTAAGTCAGTTTGAGTCAAAGTTGATTTTTCATGCTAAGAATAAAATAATTATTTTCATCTTATAGTTTTCATATTTCATTTGCTTAACCTCTACAACCTTCGAAATGAATATCAAATTTTTTGAGTAAATTCTATATATATTTTATCTACCATTTTCTCTATTCAAACACTAAATGTAGTCAAATCATCAATGCACAGAAATGAAAAATTGAAAAATATGAAATAAAATCAATAATACCTTTTTTCTAGGAGGATTGTAGTTTGTAACAGACAATTACAATTATTTATCCTAATAGCCCCACAGCTTTTCATGTCTTCTGTCTTTTAATTTTATAGTTTTATCAACATAATTTAGACCCTATCTGCATGAAAACAGAAAAACAATAAATCGCAACAGGATGTTTCAGGAAGCATTTAGGGTAAATATTTAATCATCTTATAACCATGAGGACTTTCATAGCTTCCCCATCAAATTAAATTATACTTAGGTATTGTTTCCTAAACTAACAACTTTCTAATTTTTAAATTTTAGTTACTTTTGTTAAAAATATATAACAACAAATAAAAAATATACATAAAAAATAAGACATTTAGCATTATTTCAGCTTTTAGGCCATTTGCACTTAGATGCCATGCTTCAGTAAACCTATTTTATTTTCACTGTGTTGGTTGACCACAGAAATAATTAATGTAGCTTTCAAATTATGCATTTAAGAACAAAATATATATCAGGCACTACAACAGAATGTCCAATATCTACTACAATATATTTGGCTTTCTAAATAGGCTGTAGTAGCTTAAGAAAAAGTTCCATTACTCCTCAGAGCAATGACTTTACTCAACCAAAATCAAGTTATCATATTCAACAAGCAAAGCTAAACAAACTAAGGATTTCTGTATACTACAATATGCTTTTGCTATTGATTATAAACATGTCCATCAAGCGAATAGGTGTGAGTTAATAATTTGCTTGAAATGCATGACAATATGGGAGAGGTCAAATTTATTGATAGAACTGATGATAAAGTTGCTTAAATACATTTTGAAAGTAGTTCTGTACAATGGTCCTGATGTGCACATTTTGATCCACCAGCATGCACAGAGTTAATCTTCTCACTACAGGTAGGTAAGATTATGCATGTCACAACATTTTATAAAATTGCATTCAAAATTTAATTAAATTGCTTTATTTTCAATGTATACAAATAAACTTGGTATCAAAATCTCCAGTAAAAATAATTAATTAAAAAATTTTATTTTTTGTGTACAAAAGACTTGTAATGTTTACTAAAAGCTTGCCAGATTCATGAAGATACACAAAACATATTAAATGAAATTATGATGGTTACTTTGAGGTGCAAGGATGACCACACTGACTGACCCTATGTATATGGAAAGGATTAAACAACTATTTCATGCAATTTATTTCCTTATTTACAGGTTTAATTTTTCATAACTCCTAATTCAAAAAGTAAAGTTATTTCATTTTTTCTACAGAGGTCAATATAACAACACTTAATACATTCTGTACTATCATAATAAAAACCACAAATATACCTCAAATAACCACTTACCCTCAAACAGACAGTTTTGCTTCTTTGAAACACTGATATTAGTAGATTTTTCTGATCATTCCCCTTACTAATCAGTTCCCTTTTCATCTGGTCATAAATATAGAGTAAATAATGTGTATCTTCCCTAGCATAGTGGATCATGTCATCTGGGAGAGGCCTGTGTAATGATCATACAATCATTCTTTTTTTATCATACAACCATTATTTTTGACAGAAATGAAGGAAATTATCAAGTAATGAATAATACCCTTCTTAAGTTCAAATAAAAAGTATTTACTCATTGTTATATTTCAAACCTTTTTAAAGAGTTTTTTGCCAATTTTTTTACACATTTAAGGACTTTTCCGGTCACGATATAAATTTTCCAAGTACCAGGCTTCCATCAGTCTTTCTGTTGTATTTTCTTCTTGACAGCTTTCCTTTGTTTTAAACTGTTTTAAATGTTTAGATAAAAATATCTAAACCAAGGAATCAAACAGTTAATAATTTTATTTATTTAATGAATATCTCTGAATAAAAGTATAATGGTTAGGGGTAATGAAGGGTGATGTAAACGATAGGCTTATTTTTACAAACTAAAACTTAACTTACCTGATTCTCCAGTCTGCTAACTGAAATTGTTTGTTAACATCCACGTGGCAATAATGTTTCAGCAAGTAAGCTAATGAATAACAAGCCATATTTAGCACTCTAGCAGCTTGTCCAGTATCAAACATATTAACTACATATAACCCAAAGTCACGTTGTAACCACAAAATATCCATATCTGCACCATGAAGTACCTACAAACAGAAATTACAGTAACAACTTGTTAATAAATACAAGCTTTAGTAAGTACAACATACATCTCTTAGCACTAAACAAGGATTTGTGCTGAAAGTGAATCAGCGAGGGAAACTTTTATACATTTTGAAACTGAAGAATATCAACCTGTCAATTTACTTTAGGTTATCCCTAGAAATCATCTATATTTTCAAATATGCACTGAATTTCTAAAAGAAAAAGTATACTTGAAAACATTATTTAAATTTATAATAGTTATTTATTTTGGAAAATTGTGTAAAACTGAACAACTGTTTTGACTTCTTTTGGAAACAAAAAGTTCACTTCTTAGCACTAAGTAGAAATTTTGTTTTATTAATCAGGTATTTAGTAACTTATTTTTTTACATTTTCCAAATATTTTCAAGTATATTTTTTTAGAGGCTGAGAAAATATCTGAGATTACTCTGCAACTCTATAACATCAATTATATAGTCATCTCCAGTGGACAGATGCATCAGATAAGTAGTGAAGAAGCAATAATAAAAGTCAATAATTAACATCAAACAAAAAACCTCATGTTAAAAGAAATAATAACCACATTGTGCATATTCTAGTCTGATAATATTTTAGTCACTTTGACAATTTTAAGATCTGTAATAATTCACAATTAAAGTAGCCTCTGTCAAAATTCTACATGAAACATGTAAGTAATAAATTAAGTAAACAAAACCACAATAATTATCAACTTCAATCACAACTTTTGATGTTAAAAATATAATAACCACCATATACAAAATCTATTTAGACACTATTTTAGTCACCTTGACAATTTTAGGATCTGTAAAAATTTCATTTAACTGGAAAAGTTCACTCCGCAGCTCTATAGCATCAATTATATAGTCTTTTTCTCTGGTAGACAGCTGTATCAGACAAGTAAATCCTTGGAAGGAGCGATAAGAATGATGCTGTAAAACACATAAATATACGATTATATGAAATTAACCAAACCTTCATTTAGAGCCCCATATATCCTTTAAGTACAAAAACAAAAAAAGTACAATAAATCAAAATTTTAATAATGTGGATGACTAAACAATGAATTCTGCATTTATCATAGAGCTGAGGAAACAAAATATAAAATGTATCATAATATTTAAAAAAATATTTTTCAAAATATATAATTTTTTTTTCAAAGAAAAGTATTTAAGAAATATAGTGCTTAGTATAAAAAAACCAAAATTACATCTGATGCAATACAAGCAGCATCATGCAATAAGATATTTGACTGATTAGAATTATAACCAAAAATTAAATATAAATTGAGGAGGGCTTTGGTAATTCTTTGACCAACGTTCATGTCTATGCATGTGAATTTTATAACAGGCAAATAAGATTTCACTAGACTACAACCTCACTTCAAATTAGGTAATAAATTGTGGTAAATATGAAAAACAATAAAGGTTTTTAAAATCAGGAAATTTTTTACATATTTAAAAAACTTCACACAAAAAATGTAATTATCTTCAAAAATGATTTTTATGGTTTGAAAAAATTATAATTAAAAAATACAACTGTTTTGCTTATAAGGAGAGTAATCATACAGATGTGTGACTTGTGCTTTGAATTGAAGGATGATCATTATTATAAAAATTTGACAGTGTCCAGAAAAACATTTTCAGGTTTGTAACTGGGGAAAAATAAAACATTATTACCAGCAAGATTCTCTATGCCACATAAATAACTCTCTCAACATGGGCTCGGTCCATTTGACTCACCACGTGACCTCTTCATACTTGTTCAGTCTTTATAGATTTGATACCACTAACATTTAATATAGTGTGTATATCTTCATGTAACTTGGCAGTCTTTCAGTAAACATTATAAGTCTTTCACATACAAAAAATCATATTTTCTGTGAAGTATTTTTTATAAACTAAAAATAGATTTGTCCTTGAATATATTGAGTGTTTGTTTTGAATAGTCTGTGTGCAAAGTGATTTTCATGTTAAGATTAAAAATACTTTTCTTCATCTCAAAAATCTCAAATTTCCTTCGTGTAAATCTTTAAAACCTGCTAAATACATTACAAATGCTTGTTTTCAGGTAAATTTTATATTCTATGTTATTTTCTCTACCCTAACTCTATACAAGGTAGGTCAGTTTGACTGACCTTGTAAAAAATAAATAAAAATCTAAATAAATCTAAATTCCCATCTTTTTTCTTTCTAGAATGAAACTACATTCACTTATCCTAAGTAGCTTTAAACTTGTA